GAAAAATGACTAACGCGGATTTCAATTTTCGACAGAACTCAGTATGCTTTATTGTTGCCCAATTCGTCGTGATTAATGCGTTATTGATTACGAAGTGTTGCAGAGGACTGCTTTCTGAGTAAGCCAGTAGTTTAATGGTCAGTAGTGATTAGTGATTAATTACAAACGCAGGCCATTGACAGAAAACAGCAGTGATAATAAGAAACTGAAATTTTCGTATGCTAAACATGTTAAAAACGCGGTTTGTTAACGCGCCGTTCAGTAATGTGTACGTTGGGTGTGGCTTCTTAGGTTTGCGTCTGTCTCTGGCTTTTTCGGTTCGCATTTACTTCGGTGCCAGCACAAGAGAGACGGAAATGAAGACCTGTTTTTGACGAGACATGAATTTTCAAAGAATCTACTGAGGCAAGATCAGCATGTCAATAATGGATCGACAATCTTGTATCCATCATCAGATGGAACAGCATGCTTCCAATTCGAATTCAGAAACGAAAATGTCCGTCTCAGTTGCTTATTCCATAGAACAATTAATCACACCATGTCGCCGGGTGCCCCCAGCCGAGGGACTAGCATCAAGTCGTTGACTGGCCAAAGGAGGAAGCATGATGTTGCTGTGTGGCCATATCAGAATATATGCGAAAAATAGTCCAACGTGTTTTATGCGATTGTCTGTTAGGGCTGTAGTTCTCCTTGACCTGTTTCATACCTGTCTATCCTAAATTGTAATAATCACCACAAGGTATGAATCACAAAACCCGTCAGTCATCTTGCGCTGTTATATGTTGTTATTTTTAACATCGCTGATCTTTTCATTGTTCTTCTCTCCATTCTTTTCTTTGGTATTATTATATCCCACGTAGTGCAACATTATTTTAAATCAAATTACATGAATCAGTTGAATCTCCTTTACGTCAGGTTTTCTAATATTGGCGCTATTTTTAGTATTTCACTCATAAAGTTGCACGGATTTAGTCAGTCTTAATGACATTACATAGTCGTTTGGGCATTTGCACTTGTTGGGGAATAGAGTGCTGCTGAAGTGTCTAATGAGGGTCAGCATTCATCAGTGTTGCACAACTTTAGAGGAACACAGAGATTCGAAATTCCTCTCCTTGGTTTGTTGAATGTTCTCTTACTACAAGCTCAGTAGTTCGTTTCCTCTTAGCTTAGCCCAGTCTTTCTTCCTCCATTAATTGACTTATATTCGATGTGCCCACTGATTTGTGCGACGGAATCCGGATGCGTGGATACTGCGGTTTTAAACAGCTGATAATCATCCAGTGTTCAACGAACCATGTCAAATCAGTATTCATCAGTGAGTGGCCCAAGAGATACCATGTCACTCGCTCTTTTTGCCGGGGCTTTGGAGTCATCTTCAAGCAGCTGAGCTGCTTCAACTGTATCAGTACTGGAGAAGCATAGGTGACGAACTTGTTACTCGCACACGGCACGACTGAGAGAGAAAATTCAGCAGCTGAATGAAAAATCTCGCGCCATTAAATTGGAGGTTAATCCAAGGTTACCTAGGCAGCGGCGGAGACAGAAGCGGATAACAGAGAATATTGAGGATGCGATGAGTTGCGTCTGTGGCACACCGATATGGAGGGACAGTCGGGTGACACTTATAGCGAACGAAGATGTAGTACTCATACTAATGGCATTTCCCTCAGTTCTCTATTCTAAGACATCCTGCCATGCATTCCGTTTTGTTCCTGCTTAGCCAAAGCCTGTTTTGAAAGAACTGTTCCGCATGTTTTGACTTTCTCTTTATTGATTTTCCCTGTATTACAATATGTTGTTGTTTCCTTCCGGTCTTTAGTTTGCTATTTTTTCATCACTGAGAACAGAAATTGACCAGTCGCTGATCTTTTGTGACCCCTGTTTTCAAATTGGCATCTGCTTCTAATCATCGCTGCAATTTACTCGAGCAGGTTGTTCGCGTGGTGTCGCGGTGCCTAAGAAACTTCGACCTCCAGAGGTGTCGGGTTCGATTCCGGTAGAGGGCAATTTTTGTCTTAACCACGAAGAATTGAGTAAGGAATTAACCACGCTTTGCTTTAGACCGGCTTGTGCAAAGTCGTGTACCGCAGCTGGAAGAAGGTAGAAGACTCTATACTGTACTTGCCCCAAATTGGCTGTGCCTCTTAGCTGATGACTTAGAAATGAAGATCAGGGCCCCACGGTTAATTTCATGACAGGTAGGATGTCAGAAATGACCCCATCATGAAAACGTAAGGAATTCCAACATTCGGCCGGTTACAAATTTTTCGTTTATCCTTAATTTTCAATGTGTGAATCCTTCAGCACGTTTTTCCAAAGCCCTGCAAGAACGTGGTGCCTAGTAATTGCTAAAAATTAGTCTCATAATGAGTATCATT